GAACCTGGCAATTTAACTCTGTTAAACTGAACAGATGTTAAGAACTACCCAAACTATTCCAGCCTCCACTGCTATTCTCTTACTGCCTTTGGTGGCAATTAGTGATTGGGACATCACTACTAATACCTCAATTACTCAGGCTCAAAACCCTGCCTTCTTTGATTCCTCCCTCCTCATATGCATTGCGTCTCCAAGCACCAGAAAGAAGTTTATAGTTCATACTTATTTTTTGATCTAGTCCCATGAAGTCCAGCTTCCTCTTTGGTTCCCTGCCTTCATTTTCTCCCTACTCTCTCACAATTCATCTTTTACCTTACTCTCAGATTATTCTTCCTAAAACTCTATTGCCTTGAGGTCAATACTCTCCAGTACCCAGTCCCAACATTCCCTCAAGCTTCATTTCCCATGATCTCCCTCTCCCCCTGCACCATGAACCTTCCCATCCAGCAAAATGAGTCTAATCGCTCCTTCCTACAGATGCCTTGTATTTTGGCACCATCCTTCCCTCGCATCATCGTCAATGGCTAGGATTTCCTCCCCGTCCTCTCTGCGTTTACAAATCGTACTTCTTCAAAGCTAAGCTAAAATGCCACTTGCCCTCATCACCGTTCAATTCAAGAACCCTCTAGTAGGTATGATAGTAACAGCCAACATTTATTATGTTAAGCATTTCATTTGACTACCCAACAATCTTAGGAGGTAGTTACAACTATCATCTAACTTTATGATGATAAAACTGTGGTTTACTGACATTAAATAACTCACTCAAGGTCATACAGAAAGTAAGTGGTAGAGCCAGGATTTGAAATTAAGACAATGACTCCTCGGTTCAAGTTCTTTCACCATTATACCAAATTCATCCTGTACCTAACGTGTGGGGTAAGGAAGGGCTTCTGTGTACGTATAGATTCTAAAATGAAGGCCTATGAAGGTGACTATGAAGAACGGCCAGCCAGCAATGGGCCTCATCCACCATCCACTGATTTCACCAGACAATCACTGTGAGAAAGAAGCCCTTCCTGGGAAAGGGACAGTCAGTAGGAGATGCAAGTGGAGATTGTCTACAATATAACTAGGAGGAGCCTACAAACAAGACAATTGAGCAGAACTGGTACAGTAGCTAGCCTAGCCATTAGAAATCTCTACTTTTGTGAAAGTTTTATCCTGTCTCAGCTATGGAGCAGGACACTCCTTGGATCAGTGGGAATCAATAGGAAGGGATTCTGAGGAGGGCACATGGGACCCAATG